CAGATTATTACTGGTCAATAGTTAGAGAAGATAGACCGATCGCAGTAAAATCGAAAAATGTTTATTTCTTTTCGGTACTTGTACTTACTAAAAACGGAAGTAGTTCAAACCAATCTTCCGGGATGAACATTCCGACCGATCCCAGAGCCGTTGCTTGCAATTTGGAAAATTTTTGGAGCTTAAAATCGTTGGCAGTTTCAGAAAGCGATCACATAAAGAGTCAGTCGGAAGTTGAAAGGGAATACGGAGAAAAGTGTATAACACTCAAAAATGGAAATTAAACAGCTAATTTACCATGGAAACTAGACTTCTGTCCGCTGCTGCATAACATGGCATTGGTTAAACAAAGGACATATAACGTTATTAGGCGTTTAGCAAACAAGCCCGATTGTAAAAATGTATGAAAATATTATTAGCGAGCGGTAGAGGAGACACTTTATTGAAAAGGTTATGGAAACAAAACTTCCTACCTATCGATCCGTACACTATATTCCACATTACCCTGTTGCCAATGAATCATCTACTACACCGATACGCATTGTTTATGATTGTAGTTGAAAAGATGGAAGAGGTCATCCAAGTCTGAATGAATACTTACACCCGACTGTTATGAATGACATTACAGAAATTCTTATGAGATTTCGTGCTTAGAAATATGTTACGACCGCAGATCTTAAAAAAGCATTTGTACAAATATAACTCGACGAGAAAGACCGGAGTGCAACGAGGTTTCTGTGGATTATGGACTCTACAAGTACACCAAGTCCGCTAATAACATATCGCTTCTAGTTCGTACTCTTCGGAGTTATATGTTCGCCCTTCATTTTGAGCATCACACTACTCAAGCACTTCAAGGAAAATCCGGGAAATGTTTTAGATTCTCTTGAAAATTGATTATATGTGGACAACATTTTAACTAGCTTTGATAACGTAAAAATGGTAATAGATTATTACAGGAGATCGAGGGAATTAGTCACGTAAGGCGGATGCAACCTACGCTCTTGGAATTCTAACAGTCCAAAATTACAAGAATTCGCTTGTAAAGAAAAAACCTTAAAACTTACTAAAATTCTTTTTATGCAATGGAACTCTAAAACGGACAAGTTGTTTTATCAAAGTAGCAACTTCGAGATAGATGAAAAAGGAAAACTGACTAAACGATATATTTTACTTTAATTATTAAATATTTTCGATCCGTTAGGATTTTCAAGCCCAGTAACTGTAAAAGCGAAATCTGTATGCAATCACTTTGGAAGCTAAATTTAGAGTGGGACGAAATACATATATTTATTTTACGAGATCTTGCATTGAGTTTAGACACGGAGATCAATCAAAGTACTACAACACAAAACGAGAGTGACACACAATTACCAACTCTACATGTATTTACCGATGCATCAACACATGCGTAAGGCGCATGCGCATAAATCATATACGACAGAAAACCAACAAAAGTGATGGTAAAGAATCGAGTTGCACCTTTTTGTAAATCGACGTTCAGTGCCAAAAATAATGATGTCAGACAAAGCGTTAAGGTTCGAAACATCATCAAGCAAAATTTCACGATTTTTCAATTCTAGAAAAATTATGGAAAATTGAAATTCATCCCAAAGTAGAGCTCCATGGTTCGGGGGCATGTGGGAAAGATAGATTGGCTTAACAAAAACTTCACTAAAGAAAGTATTAGGACGTGCACATGTCAACGATGAGACTCTAAGGACTGTATTAACGGAGATCGAAGCAACGCTCAATGACCGAGATCCGGAGACGCTAATATCATCCCGTCTTATACATGGACGAAGATTAACAACTCTACCGTATGTATCGTCAAACAGTGAAAAACTAAAACTCTATGAATCAACGCACACACATTTGAACTGTAGAGCTTTACGACAGAGACAATTGATTGAGGATTTCTGGACAAGATTGAAAGGAGAATACCTTACTTCATTGCGAGACTTTCACCAGATCTAGAGAGCAGGGGTCGACATTTGGAAGAATAAAGAAGGCGATGTCGTTCAGATACAGGACGAATCGAAACGCGTGCATTGGAAACTGGTGTTGTGCAGGACACTATTAAAGGCAGGGATAGTTTTGTGAGCTTTGATATGGTGCGTATAAAGTCAGGAATAACAAACAAACCTGTGACGAAACTCTACCCCTTGAAGGTCAACAGCATGAACTGTTATCTGAAACGAAGTGAACGAAGAAACTAACGTGTGTGAACAGACTTTTTAATTTTTCTTATTTGTGAAAAGACCGTCAAATTTAATGAGTGTTAACTTACATTTAAAATTTGATACTTTTCTTATTTGTGAAATAAATCTACTTTAATTTACTCCGCATTCCACAATACATCACAGCATGGACATTGCATCTGGTTGCCCCGAGTATGTCGATGATTTAGAGACAGTTTAATTTACGCTAATCGTTAGTGCTACATTTAACGCCGTTTTCATTTTACCATTGTTAACGTCACTATATCTCTTATTAACGTTGTTCTATTGTTATGTAATACGTTATTATATTGAGTTGAGATTACACATTTAAACGAAATAGACGTTATTTACTGCCTGTCCATACATCGAGCTTACCCATCCGTCACAACTACTTACACAAATCTACCACCTTTATACTAATAATATAAAAAGGGCCGGGCTAAAGTACTAGTTCTTTCTGTATCTAACTAGCAAACGTAAAATTTTAAATAAAGTATGATATAATAAAAAAAAAGTTTATTGAGTTCACTGACTCAGTGGCCTTTAAAAGTGTGAACCACATGTTTTAGGTTATTTCGAATAGACAGAAAAAATAATACAGTCGTTCCTTATAATTTAATTCTAAATTCCGTTTTTAAGGAGTAAATCATTAAAAAAACGTTGATGACGGCACGGTCACATGACAAAATCATGTTAATGAGCTGATAGACAAAAACTTTCAGCAAATCAGAAGACGTGTTACATCCAAAATAAAAATATTTGAGGATAACTGAAACAAAGTTACAACTGTTACTCTTTGTTAGTTTCATATTTTTAGTTAACCTGACCTAAAAGATCAGTGTGAAATTTTGACATAACTTGGCCGTAGTCGTCGTCGTCGTCGACGTCTGTTGTGGTCCGTTACATTTACAAAATTTTCTCATAAGAAACTACGGGGCCAAATTGAACCAAAATTGTAAAAAATCAGTTTCGTGGAAGATTAATTATGATCTATTAACATGGCCGCCAAAACTAAAAATAGAATAAAGTGGAAAATCGTGAGTGAACTTCGTAAAAGAGTTATTGCCTTTAAATGACAATTTTTACGCCTTTTTGTTTTTGTTTTTCCCATTATCTTGAAAATTGTTCTAGATATCCGAAAAACTTGTAACATCAAACATGATCAGCAAGACAAGATCTATAAATTGTCGGTAAATTCCTTATAAGAGTTTTAACCCTTAAAGGGCTATTTTTACCATTTTTTTTGGCTTTCGACTATCATTTTGAAAATTAAAATAAAAAGAGAAAACATATCAACGTCACTCGACCCCTTTTAGGAGTTTTTTTTTACTTAACAGTGTATTTATCTATTTTTTTTCTTTCGGGACAAAGGCTGCAGATAGAGAGAAATTGTAAGCAGCAAAATGAAAAAAAAAAAAAAAATATAGAAATAGGCAAACAGCTGAAATTGTCACATGAATCCTTATAGTAGAAGTGCCTTAATGATGTTTTCTCCTAATTTTGCATTTTTGGTGGAAGCTTTAACATTTAATTAGGAAATACAATATCTATGAATAAGTCAACCAAGCCGAAATGTATTCAACTCAAAAAGAGAGATTTTAGTCATTGATTACATTACTGTTAAAGATGTATAATACTACAGGTATGTAACACATACTCTTTTGATGATGTAGTTAACCATATATACCTGATTTGCTGTTCTTTCATAACAAAACAAATGACCTTTAAATGGATATTTGTTTTCGAACTTTTGAACTTGGAATTGCAAATTTCAAACTTTACCTTCTTAATTTCGAACATTTTATGATCCGTCCTGTGTTTCTTGCCTTTACAGATTTCTAATGCTTAACTTACGGTTTTTATAACATGTATTAAAATTACCATTATAAATACACGCTTTAGGAACACGTGAAAAGATCATTTAAAAACAAAAACAAACATTCATGATATTTCCCGAGTATCTGAGTGATGAATATTATAAAATTTGTGATGTGAATCAAACCTCACTACAGTACTAATGAATTGAGATATATCACAACATCTGTGTAATTGGAGTTAATTGAACGATACGCTGTGTCAGTGTTTCAACTAATCAGTGACATATTTTCGAGAATATACCAGAATATTAGTATAATCTGTAAATTTATCGATTGTAACCCATTCCCAATTGCGAAATTGTGACTGAATGTGGATTTGCTTGGCTAGAAAAGCTAACCATATCTTATGTTACCTTGGTTTGTCTTCTTTTTAAATTTACGAGATTTGAACATCGGTAAACTACTTTTACCTGAATTAGTTCAAATGTTAAGGCTTATTATCTATAGTACAAGTAACACTGTTTTTCATACTGTCCTTTAGTTTAATAAAATTCTAAATGCATTATTGGTATTAGCTTATTTTCAAAAATGTGTACTGATGAAAAGGTTATCAAAATGATAAACCATACAAAATACAGAAAGCCACAAGAACAATTTTCTTTTCAATTAGTTTTATAGTTTTTTTATTTATAGAAAAAAAACTTTATTATTAGTGTTTGTTCATTTAAATGTTTTATTTATTCATAGGTCAGTCTATTATTGACTGTTCAAAATGCATTATTTGTATTAAGCTTATTTAAAAAAATGTGTAATGATAAAAAGGTTATTAAAATGATAAACCATACAAAATACAGAAAGCTACAAGAACAATTTTCTTTTCGACTAGTTTTACAGTTTTTTTTTATTTATAGAAAAAAACTGTATTATTAGTCTTTGTTCATTAAAATGTTTTATCTATTCATAGGTCAGTCTATTATTGACTGTGTTACTGGTAGCTATCCTCCCAAACATTGGGGCAGAGATTTCAAGTTTTCAAATAAATTCCACTGATCACAATGCAAACTGTTTTGAGAGAGGCATCAATATAATATGTTTCAAAAGATTTCTACAACCGGCAGCAGAGACGCTGAATGATACACGTTCATCAAATTTCCTAAATGCCTTATTGCGAAAGATCAATAGTGAGGCGGATAGAGCTACTAAATCTCGACAAAGACGACAGACGGTTGAAGTATTAGTCAGACGGGAAATTAGAGCAGATTCATACGAAACCAACTTTCTACGTTATGCACAAGCTGTACAGAGGCTAAAAAATGATTTTGTAAGTATTATTGTAGTTCGACACAAACTGGCGTCTCCCTTTATCACATATTTCAACATGGAAGATTAGTGAAAATCGTGTTTGTTTTTCAAAAGTAATTGTTTTTTATTGTCCCTTATGGTTATATAGTGTTTGATTCAATCAGGTATTTACACAGGTGTTATATATTCATGTATTCACAAAATTCTTGTATTTACAAATTCATGTATTTATATATTCGGGTATTTATATGCTCAGGTGTTTACGCATTCAGGTATTTATACATTAATGTATTTACACATTCAGGTGTTAACACATTCAGGTATTTATACATTCAGTTATTTACACATTCAGGTATTTACACATTCAGGTGTTACAACTTTCAGGTATTTAAACATTCAGGTATTTATACATTCAGGTATTTACACATTCAGGTATTTACACATTCAGGTGTTACAACTTTCAGGTATTTATACATTCAAGTATTTATACATTCAAGTATTTATACATTCAGGTATTTACACATTCAGGTGTTTACACATTCAGGTTTTTACACATTCAGGCTAAGTGTTCATAAATTCAGGTATTTACACATTCAGGTATTTGTACATTCAGGTATTTACACATTCAGATTTTTACACATTCAGGTCTTTACACATTCAGGTGTTTAAACATTTAGGTCTTTATACATTCAGGTATTTACACATTCAGTTATTGATACATTCAGGTGTTAACACATTCAGGTATTGATACATTCAGGTATTTATACATTCAGGTATTTATACATTCAGTTTTTTACACATTCAGGTGTTTACACATTCAGATGTTTACACATTCAGGTATTTACACATTCAGGTATTTATACATTCTTGGATCAGAAAAGTGCTTCAAAAACTTATTTTCATTTGAAGTTAAAGTCTCAGATTGAAAAGCAAATGTTCATTAAAATCAATACTTTATCTGAAATAGATATGTTTGAAAACTACCTTTGATCAACATATAAGGAACAGTAGCAATATCAATAAAAGACGTAGTAGACGACACTATAATGAGACCGCAACATATAAAAACCCAAAACGACCTTAAAAACAAAAGAAATGCGTATATATATTTAAAAAAAATACATAATCAAAATGAACCCAATGAATGACAATGGGTATTTTTTTCTTTCGATCGATCGAAAAGGTCAATATTGAACTTCACATTTATATCAAAATCCGTACTTTAATAAATTATATCAGTTTGTGAGTAAACAAATAGAAATGGAATTAACTTTTCAATCAACTAACTAGTAACAAAATTTGTGTATTGTTTTCTAATGACAAAAAGAGAGAATAAATAAAAGAATAAGAAGATGAGGTATGATTCCCAATTGTAAAAATGTTTCACCAGACCCAAATGACATAGAAGTTAACAACTATAGGTCACCATACGGCCTTCAACAATGAGCAAAGTCATACAGCAGAGAAAGCTATAAAAGGAACAGAAATGACAAATGTAAAACAATTCAAACGAGAAAACTAACGGTATGATTTAAGTACAACACAATAAACGAAAAACAAATATGATATACAGCATCAAACGACAACCACTGAATTACAAGTTCCTGACTTGAGACAGGCACATACAGAATGTTGCGGGATTAAAATATCTGCTGGCGCAAAACCCTCCCCCTAACCTGGGACAGTGGTGTAACAGTACGACGTACGAACAAAGTATAAAAATCAGTTGAAAATAGTTAAACTCATCAGATCGATACAAAGCACAAAGCAAACATGAAGCGTTTATTTCTTGAAAAAAATTGATACTTCTAATGTCTCAAAAAAAATCATCAAAATAATCGTTGTGAAAGTAAATTGTTTGAAGCTGGATAGACAATTACAAGATTTACTTGATTTGGATTTAAAATACGTTGTTGTGAGGATATATAACCTTAAGATTGTGTAAATATATTGGGTTTATATTAATATTTTAAAAATGGAAACTACAAAGATACTACCTTCTGACCTGTTTAGTTTTGCATCTGCACACGCAAAAACATTTTCAACTTTTTAAAATTCATTTTCAATTTTATACCAGTTATCAATCGTAGTTTATCAGTCGACAAGTTTTAATTGAAACTTGAATTAAAAAAAGGTACAAATATTAAAAAAACACCCCGTATCAAACAGATTTCAGTGCGCATGACAAGTTAGGTGAATAATCTTTAAGAGGTACGCACAATAACCAAACATTTAAACACTGTTATCTCCTTTCAAAATTTATGAAATGCATTTTAAATGCATTGATCTTTTGGATTGAAGCTGTCTTAATTTTCTTCTCTTCTAATTTTTTTTTGCCTGATTATTAAAGCATTTTTACTTAAATGATAATAATTCTATTTCGAATTACGTCAAATTATGGATGCTTTCCTAGGGGATTTATAAAATGTATCAAGGATTTGTATAGTGACTATACAAATCCTTGAATGGATGGAGAAATAGTGATCTTTATTTAATCATTTTAATCGAAAAATAATAGTAATATTAATAACAAATGTCATTTGAAAATCAACCCCTTTAATAAATCAAAATTGATCATTTTCATACCTCTCCAGACAAATCTAGAACAAGTTCCAAAGAAATACAACGCTGGATAATTCTGTCGATACTTTCATAAATGCTAAATAAATCTTTTAGCTTGATCGGTATTACTCCATATTGAAATGTTTGTTAACACAGTGGATCTAGCACTAAGTATGATGTCATTCAAGGAATATTTAGGACTTAAGTGTCACGTGATATACCTACCTGAATAATTGGACATGGACATTATTACACTGACTTGGGCTTCTTTTGTCTAGATTTTATAATTCTCCTTTAAAAAACTGTTTAAACTAATTTTGGCATATGGCAAAATGTTAAGTACTTTACTAATTTGCAAAGCGTCCATATTACTTTATCGTGACACAGCCATTTCAATACGATTATGCATGACCTAAAATAAATATGCAAATATGCCAATTCTAATTTGCATCAACAATTTGTCCGCATATCGGTGAATTGTATATGCTATTTTCTTTCTGCTCGTGTACAAATAAACACTGTCTGTTTTGAAAATCGGAAGCGTAACCATAGTTTAATTGCTATATGAAATAACGAAAATTATCAAAAATAGCAAGATTCAAAACAGAAATAAATATACAAAAAAGATATTTTTCGTGATTTGTCCGCATTTAGGGATTCACATTGCAGGCTGAATTAAAGTTTTGTCTCACCTGTTTTTTTCCAGTTTTCGGCCAAATCCTTTAAAACAATGATTGATTCCTTCTCATTCCGTAAATAGTCAAATTTTGAGCATATTTTCTTTAAATTACACAACATATTATTTTGTAAAAATCCGCATAGGAAGTTTTTGAAGACACGTTATTTCTAGACCCAAAATTAAAAAGACTTGATTATTTGCATATTTGATCTAATTTATATTTTTCAATCTACAACTTAGGGAAGTAATTTAATCAAAGAGCTGACGTCACGTGGTGCAAATCCCACGAATAAAGTATCTAGTTTTTTTCATATGGCGCGACCGTTCTTATTGTAGGTTTGAAGTAGGTAAAGTTGAAATATCTGGCTTTTTTGTTCTACCCTTTAATTTATATTTTACTTAACTTGCACTTTACTAAGAAGGTGTGTGCTATATACGGTATGTACTATCAACTACAAAAACTGTTTTATCAGAGTCTTTGTCAATATGCTATCAACTACAAAAATGTTTTTGTTGGCGTCTTTGTCAAATTTACTAATAAGTACAATACCTCTCTCGTTGGCGTCATTGTTAGCTTTATTTGTATGTTTATTTGAATTTTGTAGTCAGTTGTTGTGTATGTTTACACATTTTGGCTGCTGGATCCAAATATTGTCATATTTACCTATAATGTCTGTTTGGGTTGTTCACCCAATTGTTTCAATTTAACGGAACTATAAATCAGCTGTCATACAAGTGGGAGGTTTAGCTAGCTGTAAACCAGGTTTAATTCACCATTTTCTTCGAAAAATGCCTGTTCCAAGTGAGAAATATGACAGTTGTTTTTCACTCGTCTCGTTGGTTGATACCGTTTGATTTTTTCAGATATTTTTTACTTCCCTTTTTTGAATTTACCTCGGTGTTCGGTATATTTGTTATACTTTTTTTGCTTTTAAGGTCCATTTTGTTATATACCTCTTCACGTGTTCTGATAATTCAACATGCTTCTCAGTTAATTTAAAAAACAAATTTGATCGTCCCTGGTGAAGGTTAATCACGAATAGCGTTACGAATGGAAACAAATAAAGTATTATTTTCATTTGCAATAACTGAGTCAATATCGCTTCTGGAGGACTGCCATGGCCAGTTCATGAGGGCATCATCAGTAGTCAGTGCTCTAAAATTCATATTATTAATTTTTAGAATGTTGGTTTGTTTACGTGCCGTGGAACATAGCATGCATGTTCAGGGCAAGAAACTTTTATAAAATTCTGTGTTTTTAAAAGTATACAATAATAAGAAACTCAGGTTCCAACTCCACAAGGCAAAGTTGGTCTTAGCTGGATAAGAGTATTCTGTATAGTTTCCTTTCGATCATTTAACTTCCCATAAGTATTGTATTTATCTTTATCTTTAATCTTTTTTGGTTTAAGCGTTCCAAATGAAAGTAAATCAGGATTTTTTTTTCAGTTTACGTATAAAGATAACAGTGACATTCAAAATTTCTTAATTTATCAGAAATGGCAAATTTAGGAATGTCGTCTATAAAATTTATGTCGTCTTTAATTTCGAATTTAGAGCTCAACTTCAAGCCATCAAGATATCAATAGAAATTTATATAGGTAAAAGCTTTATAGCAACATTGTATGGTCAGACGTTTTGTGATTGACTTATTCTGCTTAAACATTGTACCTTTTTAAGGAGAAGAAAACCACAATTTTTGTTATTGTAATTAGTATATACGACTGATTCATAAAGTAATAAAACATCGTAATTCATTAGAAGAATGCGAGAAGGCTTAAATTGGTATTTGAAAACAGATCTTTTTGAATATATCGCCGACAAATTAGTTGCAATATATTCATAAATGTAACGCCATTCCGTCATTTCCGGTTCAGTTCAGAGTCAGTTTTTATATAAACAGTACTCGCCTATTTAACAAGTCAATTATAAAGCATTAAAAAATCTTCAAAGATACCAGGCTTAAACGAGTTTTCAAGAGGTAAAATGGAAATACTTGGTTTTGACAGCTACGAAAATCTTATTATAATGCCAAGGAAACATGAAAATCGGAATAGAAGGTTGGATGTAGAACGATGCAATTTTAAAGCTCTTCATTACAGAAGACTTCCACAAAACATCAAAAACCACAAAACAACTAGAAAATTTAAAATCCCGTGTGTACAATTATCTTTACGATATGTATTAAAAAATAACGCTTACATGATCTTACATAAACAATTGCTTGCTTTTAAAATCCGATTTATTTTGGTTTTCTTTCTATGTTGATCGAAAATTTCGCCTTTTTGACCTTTCAAGACTCAGCTGATCCTCATAACATATGATAGATGGGGTGTGTTTCAACAGTTTTATTTAAATCTCGTTTACAATTTTTTTTTGTCGTATATGTTTAACATTTGCTAAAGATAAAGTTTAATCTTGTATCCATTAAAATGGGGAAAATAGGGACCCTTAAGCGTCATTTCTGTATTTTTGTGATTACAACAGGTTCATATTGTGTCATCACGTGTTCCAATAGGATGCTTAGCACAGTAAACCCCCAACAAAGTTTAGTGATTACTTTTAACACGGCAAAATTGTAGCCAAAAAATTTATTCAAAAAAAAGAATAAAATTAATACCAAACCCGCATCAATAATTTCATATTTCAAAATTGCAGGGAATTCGCCCAGATATGAATACCTATGACATCATTGCAATCATTCATACAGGAAGTATTCGAGAACATAGAGGGCCGGCTTTCTTCTCATGGCACAGAATTTATTTATTGTTGTAAGTTCAAGTGAATATCATTTAGCGTATAATTGTTTTCTTACTTATATGTCATGGCTTTTGATCTAGAGTAAAACATGATATTGTGCTATGTATTTCTATGATAAGAAAAACATTCCACAGGGGCAAAACATTTATTAAATCAATGCAATATTTATGTATATATTTAAGTATTTAAGAATTCGATGAAGTATAAACAGCTGACGAGCTTAATCACCAAAACGAACCTCACAAGCGTTTGAAGCTAAGTTCGACAAGTTTTACCTGTAATCTTCCAAAATCTCTGCAAACACGATAACTGAACTCATAATGAACCATTATAATTTTATCCATTCTTTACAATCTGATTCAGTAAATAAAAGTCTATATATGAACTTTCTTTTTTATACGTTTTATTACTATATATATGATTAAGCTCTTTTAACAAACAAAGAACTAATAGTTTTATCACATTTCAAAAAGGGACTGACATTGATGAAGGTCATTTGTTGAGCCAAAATATCTGTCAATACGATTTCATTTCATCTGGCCCGAGAACACAGTTATTTCGTAGTGCATTTCATTTAGACAATAAATTAAAATTAAAAAAATCGCACCTGCTCTATCTGAAATAGATTTTTACAATGTAGTGTACTACTTTTGGGACAAATAATATCAAAATTATGGAAAAGTCTACCAGCTCAATTCTATGTTAAGGGTGTCTATAATACAGTTTGACAGCTTGCGGCATACTAATTTTTGACCTTTTTTAACTGGACCAAATCACTACTTTACATAAAAATTCATCACCCAAATTTTTGTAAACATGTAATTTCATCCCCCTACTTAATATTTCATGCATAAAATATAAAGAAATAAATTTGGAAAGTGTATGAAAAAAATTTGCAAGTTATACACTGTCCACACTAGGGACTATATTCGTAGACAACGAAAATCAAAGGACGATAACTGTGTCCTCGGACCATCTGATTCGTATATATATATTTTTTTTTTTATCTTTTATCAATATTGTTGCACAAATTTTAAGACTTGTATTTATATATTTATAATATTTTGTAACACTTAACCTAGCACCACATTATCTTGCCAAGTTTACTTATCTTTTTTTATTTTGATAATTCATTCTTTAGAATTTTAACTAGTAAAACGCTACACGGAACACAATTTGATCTTGTTTGGAATACTTTTATTATCATTTGTTTACTGACAACAGATTCACAATTCATTAAATGTAAATTCTCTTTCGCCATGGTCGTCTGAATGTAAAGCATTTCGTTTAAACTAAAATCCTGATAAAATAAGGAGATAAGGTATGATTGCCAATGAGACAACTATCCACCAAAGTTAAAATAAAGTCGATGTTAGCAATTATAGGCAACCGTACGGCCTTCAACAATGAGAAAAACCAATACCATATAGTCGGCTATAAAAGGCCTTGACATGAAAAATATGAAACATTTCAATTGAGAAAACTAACGGCCTAATTTATAACAAAACAACTAACGAAAAATAACTATGACAGACATGAACCAACGACAACCACTGAACTACAGGCTTTTGACTTGGGACAGGCACATAAAGAATGTGGCGGGTTTAAACATGTTTGTGAGCGCTCAACCCCCCTAACCTGGGACATTGGTGTAATAGCACAACATACGAACAAACTATAAAAATCAGTTGAAAAAGGCTCAACGCATCAGATCGACACAAACCCGAAAAACATCAAACATAAACACAGACCGGACGTGACAGGGTATTTATCCATCCCTCATCCCTAATAACAAAAAAGACACTAAGTACAGATCTGAGAGTACTCGCAGTTGATGACAGCTAGTTCAAAGCCAATAACAACTAATAAAAAAATCATGTATCTAAGACTAAAATATCATTCAGTACACATCACATCCAAAGGATTTAATGTAAAGACGTCGTTATCAGGCAGAGAAAAACATGACCTTGTGCAATGCCAAAATAAAGGCATCGACAGATTGTAGTACCGTTAAAGTGCATATGTGTATATTAAAACTATTTAGTATGATTTTAATTTACTTATAACAAAATCAGTATATATACCAATAAAAATAATATTCAAAGATCAAATTACAGTGTTGAATAGGTAACCTTTTAGAATAAGTCTATTTAAATCATTGACAAGTTTACCCGGATCAAATAGATATTTCCGGGCTCGGTAAACAACATCACTGTAAAATTTAGGATGTCCTTTTCCGTCTCAAATACCTTTTTACAGGTACAGCCAAACGTTTAAACCAAATCTTTGTATCTATGGAAGAATTTAGTAAATGTTTTAAGTAATTTGTGGTAACGAAATCCATGACTTAATAATTTACCAGTAAAACATAGATTACGCTAATTGAAATCCAAAACGTCACTACAGACACGGACATAACGAACGAATTGGGATATATAAACACCGGAAGATGGTGCCAGAGGAATATCACCGTCCAAAAAAGGAAAATTAACAATAGGGAATGAAAAATCATCCCTTTTGTCGTAAAATTTTGTGTAGAGTTTTTGGTGTAAAACTGAAATATCTAAATCTAGAAAAGGACACTTTTTGCTGTTAATATTTAATTTTTTTGAAGTAAGTTGCTGTGGGTAAATTTTGGCAGTATATTTAGAGAATTCTTGATTATTTAACGAAATAATATCATCAAGATAACGGTTATTGTTGTTGAATTTATCAATTAAATGGAATTTAGACGGGTCTTTACTGAGTTTGGCCATAAACTGTGATTCATAACAGTACAGGAACAAGTCTGATATTAAAGGGGCATAATTGGTGCCCATATGAATACCTACAATCTGTCGATAAACTTTATTTCCGAAACGAACATAAATGTTGTCAAGGAGAAAATGTATGGAGGTAATCATCTCATCACACCTCCAGTAAGTATATCTAGCATATTTACCTTTCTCGTAACTAATTAAATGGGAAAACTTTTGTTTGATAAGATTATGTGGAAGTGTAGCGTAAAGACTAGAAAAGTCAAAACTGTCAACCGAATCAACAGGACCATCAAAAGCACGTAATTTCTCTAAAACATCCAAAGAATTTTCTACAATCCAAAATGGTTAATTCCACTATTTTCATATGTTTTGTTACAAAAATTAATAGATCAGTTCTTTGATAGTAGTTATGGAACTCGTTAAAAGTTCTGAAATTCTAGTAGTAGAACACTTACTAGAGGCCGCGATAAAACGATATTTTACGGGTTTTTTGGTGTAGTTTAGGTCATTAATACATAGCGGTGACCTTCAAATGAAGAGGCCTTAAGCTTAGCTGTGGTTGTGACATGATTATTCACTATATGACTCTCTGTGCAGCGTACGGGCTTGAAAGTTGTTGAATGTATAATTTCATTCTTAAGGACTTACGTGTAGTATTTACGTCATACCACCAACACATTGTTGACTGCTTTGTCGGCCGGTACGAAAATAAAACGCTTTGCGAGAACTTGAATTGTGCATTTAATCCTATAATTATTGGGCGTATTACTTATTTTTTTATTGATTTCTAAATTATTTTCGAAATGTGATATTTGATATGTGAATATCAACACTATTCAGACATTTATTCAAGTAGGAATCAAATGACTTTTTTACAGATTTCTCCCGTTTACGCCATTTTTTTTAATATGATGAAAGAACAACCTTACGACACTCTTCCCAAATTATTTTCGACGGTGGACGAAATTTTTCAGAAAGTTTATAACCTCTCGGCCTTGGACGATATTGAGGTCTCTTGTAACTACATGGCTTTAGTGAAGATAAGTCAAAAATCTAAATAAAGATAGCACTAACTTCTTGTTGTAGCAACCAACATTTACAAACATAATAAAAATTAAAATAACAAAAATACCGAACTCCAAGGACATTTTATAAAATGGCAAAATCAAAAGCTCAAACACATCAACCAAATGGAAAACAACTGTCATATTCCTGACTTGGTAAAGACATTTTCTTATGCAGAAAATGGTGGATTAAAACTGGTTTTATAGCTGACTAGACCTCTCGCTTGTATGACAGTCGCAAAGAATTGACAAAAATGTGTGAGCAAAACAAACAGACATAATAATAATTCCATTCTCAATTTTATAATAGGTAAACATTTAAAAAAAATGTCAAAAACAATCCAATATACAACTTTAGAACAATATTCAAATTGACATTTTATTCAATAATTCATCCAATACATTTAGCTGATCAAAAATCAATTTATCTATGATCCATATATAAATATATAACAATGAACGGCAAACTGTCTGTTGTAGTTATTGTGCGCACCTATACCATACGTTTTTTATATGGTATAACGAAACCACACCCTTCAAACCTCCAAATGATTGCACGTGCATATGTAACCTCTATATTTAAACCCAATATAAATAGAACCCTTTATACAGTTTTGGTCATAAACAATAGAACTATTTTAGAGGGAAAATCCTAAGACTCAACGAAAAAAATATTAATTTTTAAAAGGTGGAACACAACGAACTAAATTGTTAAAAAATACAGATACTAAACTTCTATCAGTTGTGTGCTATTAAGACTGAATACTCTTATATTAAAAGTAAGAAATATAAAAAAAATTCTACAAATATCCAAATTTCTTATTTTATCGAGTTAGTAAAATGTATTCATAAATTGCATTAAACGGCAGTTTCATCCAATATTATTTTTTTTGTGGTTTTATATGTTTTGCAAGCTTTAATCAATCTTTTTCATTTACTAATATTAACTGCTAATATGAGTTACTCAGTGTGCTAGTGACCTAATACGATATATAAGGGGTCAGTAAATTTCATATTGGGTGAGAGCGAAGTCCGTATATATCGTATTCGATCACTAGATCACAGTGCAACGAATTTATCTTACCGAATATCTTAACATGTGGAATTCAGACTAGTGGTCTATTAAAGTGATCGAGTCTTCAATATCAAAAACCAACTTCCATTGGTCTATACAAAAACAAATACAAACAAGAAGAATTTGTTTACCTTTAATATGTTTTCTGCATTTATTTTCAATCGTTTATCATCAATTTCTTCATCTCTTGTCTGGGCGAATAGGTTCAAATTTTCTTCAACGTCATGTTGTTTTTATAAAGGGACGTAACACTGCTACTAACTGTGTATTAAAATAAAACACGCCCATTAACCCAATATAAAATATACAGGGTTTCTACGTGTTCGCTTTTAACCAGTGGTGTGTTAAACTTGATGTTATAGAATACGTGATATCACTAAATTTATCCTTACCCTAGTTTCAAAATATAATCTTTTAGTTCAATATCTTTTTCTCTTTTTCCTCCTGTGTTAAAAAAATAATACTGGTGTACTGTTTACTCCCGATTCCAAAATTATCATTTTTAATTGCACCAATGGTGTGTGATCCCCATTTTGGGAAAAAAGAGTTCTATTTACAAATCAATAGGAAAATCAATGAATGATGCTTATACCTGTACAAAAGACTGAAAATGTCATTCCTTATCTGTCGGATTGCAGCAATATATAGAGGATTTTAAAAACACATCATTGTTGCGTTCTTATCTAAAGAAAATAAATTTAACGATTAGGTATAATTTATATCCCAATGATAAAGTAATTAAAAGTTAGAATTTCCAAAAAAGAATTATTTGCTATAGTGGTTACATCATTTCTTTTACACGAGTACATGTCTTGAATTTTATTTTACGGTATTGTAAATATAATTTTATTATTCGACACAATATTTGGACTGCTTGTAACATTTTTTTTTTAGATATGAAGCTGCATTGCAATCTGTTTTTGGTCCAGATGTAACTGTTCCATATTGGGACTCCTCGTTAGATGAAGCCATGGAAAATCGACAAGCAAGGACAATTCTGTTTTCAAACAAATATTTTGGGACACCTTTTGGCGAGGTAACCGAAGGTTTGTTTGCAAACTTACCTGGGGTTAAGATAAGACGTAATATTGGTGCGACTGCAGCACTCATTCCTAAGAATGCAATCGCGGATGTTCTAACAAGAACAAGTCATAGTCAGATTGTACGAAGGGATCAACGCAGGTATTATTGGGAAGGCTATCACGACAGTGTACACCGTTGGGTAGATGGAACCATGGCAAGCGGGACCTTGGCTGCATTCGATCCAATATTCTGGTGTCATCATGCATTTGTTGACTACGTCTGGGAATTATTTAGAGAACGTATTTCAAATGCCCCTGGTGATTATCCATTAGGTTTTGATGAGCATCCTCCAGAGGGTCAAATGAGATTTAACAGTTACAGAAACCAACCAAATCCACCGATTACAAATAGAGAAGGTTACAGTAATGAATATGCACGTCTTCGACGATATGCTCCCGCGCCATCATGTCAAAACCTGTGTTCAAATAGTCAAGATCTATATTGTAACGGAATGAGAGATATATGTGTATCTCTAGAGAGAGTAACTGGAGAAACATTTGCACAAGATGTGGTCGCCTTCCCTGCTTCTGGTGTGCCTCAAGGCCCAGATATTACAACCTTACAAGGTATACAACAATCAATATTACAAGATATGCCGGCTGGTACTCCTCTTAACTTGTTTGAGGTAGATGAGATAGATCCTAACACTCGTGGCCTTTCTGTTTTTGACGTTTAAATAAACTGTTGTATTAATACTTAACAACACAGGCATATGCTTGATTTACCTTGTCGCGTTATTTTTTGTTCAATATGCCTATTGTTATCCTACTTAAAAGGAAGTGTTATTTATCTCAACAAAATTAGGTAAACATGGTTCGTTAACTGAAATCAGTTTTTCTGTTCCGTTAGTGTTGGGCAAAACTCCTCTTTCCTTAGTTAGTCGAGTTGATTTCCCAATCGAGGATTTCGCCCTGTTAACATGTCAATGTGTAATTGTATTCATTCTTTATTTCAATCAAATATTTTTGGTCACTGCTTGGTCATGTTCCCTCAGAGTTTTTTGCAAACTTACCCGGACGAAGTATCAGGTGCGAAATCACAATTGACTGTGACTTCTTCTAGATAACACGGCTGCAATTGCATTTTTTGGCAGTAATGCAGTTGCATTAACTGCGGATGGCAGCCGTGCGTTTGAGGATTTTCGTGCTTTGGGTGTGGGTCCAAACCCATTGATTTTGTTTCTGAAATGGTAGTCACAACAGTAAGAACCTTACAGAATATCCAACAAGAATTATACAAGATATTCCGGCTGGTTCTCCTCTTAATTTGTTTAATGCCATCAAATCAATCAAAACACTCGTCCTTTATTCTGTTTTTGTCGCTGTGCTTTTACTTTACACAGCATTTGAAACATCAGGCACATGCTCAGATGCTTATATCAAATTACTGCATCTTTTTAAAAATGCCGATTGCTACTGACTTTCAAGGTAGTATGAATTACGTTAAAGAAATAAGGTAACGGTTTCAGTAAAAATGAAAGAGCCCTCTATTTTATAAGTGGTGGACTCATTTCCAAAGAAAATGGTGGCTTAAACCTGGTTGTATAGCTATCTAACAGTCAACTTGTATGACAGTTGTTTATATTTTCTTTTTTTCTTTGACAAAATTGTTATTGTTTATTGTTGTTGATGTTTGACTTCTGTTCATCATTTATAGTCTTATTTCATCAATTTTGGTACCTCGTGGACATTTGTTCTATGTGAAGATCTTTTTATTATTTTCTTCAGGTCAGGAGTATATGTCAACTTTGGTTAGTTGTTTTGGTTTAATTTTATTTCATTTGAATTCTTCATGGTGTCCAGGTTTTTTTTTTAAAGTTGGGTTAAATCCAGTTTATATTATTAGACGTGCTTTCATATTCAGGTTATTTGTTGGATTTATCCCAGTTTAATCTTATGTAGGAACATGGTGGTTTAGAACATTAAAGAGTAAAATAACAAAAATACTGAACTCCAAAGAAAATACAAAACGGAAAGTCCCTTTACAAATGGCAAAATCAAAAGCTGAAACACATCAAACGAATGGAAAACAACTGTCATATTCCTGACTTGGTACAGACATTTCCTTATGTAGGAAATGGTGGATTAAACCTGGTCTTATAGCTATCTAGACCTCTCAATTGTAAGACAGTCGCAAAAATTCCATCATATTAACAACTATGCGTGAGTAAAACAAACAGACATATTAGGTAAAAATGTCAAAAATTTGGGTACAGCAGTTAACATTGTGTTATAATCGTAATCATTATAAAAACAAACAACTAAAGTTTTCATGTGTAAGTCAAAGTCATTTTTGGGAGAAAGAATTTTAGTTTAATATTACACAAAGTGTAGTGTTGCCTGATGAATCGTTTGTTCTGATGTTTTAACTCAACAGTAGTTTACCGATATTCAAATCTCATAAATTGATTAAGAAGACAAACGGGGTAACAGACAACAACTAAGGAAAGGGCATGAACTCCAAAAGAAGCGAGCGATTCGTTCTTAGTAATAACACTTAAGTTAATCGCATTGACAACAAATTATCAGTTCGAATTATCTTAAAAGTAGAAGTGGTACTGTTGATGTTGTTTGACCACTTTAAATTCAGAGAGCCCATTTGGATCCAATTTGTTTGTTCTTTTAGCCTCTCATTGAATATATCAAAATTAAAATATTGAAATAAATAGTGTAACACTGAAATGACAATGTGATGATAACCTTAAAACAATCCTTGAAACGATTTTTCTATTTCATATTGTTGGACATGTTGCAGTTTGGAAGCAATTTCTTGATTACTTTACTAATCCTTAAAGTATAAAACAAATGATTTTTGATGCTAGTTATTTTCTTTAGTGCTACTTAAACAAAAGAGTCAATGTATTACATTCGATATACATGTCAAATGATATGAGGTAAACGCCGATGAGACAACAAAACAACAACGTAACGAATCTAGAGAGGACAACTGACGCAATTACTATACCAAAATTCATTCTTCACATCATCAAATATGCATTGACAAAGTATTAGTTATATCACTTATCTAGATAAAAATGAAAAGATATGGTACGATTGCTAATGAGACAACTATCGACTAAAGATCAAGCCAATGACAAGAATTTACATGTAGTAAATAAATAACCGTAAATGTTTTAACAACGTGCAAACTATTAATACAAATAAAAATAACGCAACGGAATGATAAAATGTGAAACAATTCAAAACTGAAACCAAATGTCTGATTTGTGCCAAAACAGTACATGTAGAACAATTATGTTCTTCTCATATATTTTATGATGGTATAATACTAAACCCCTAACAAGAGGGATTGTGCCTGATATTCATATGATGAAGACATAATCTTCTAATCAGTTTAATTGAGGTCTGAAGCTGGCATGTCAGTAACTACTAGTAGTCTGTTGTTATTTATGTATTATTGTCATTTTGTTTATTTTCTTTTGTTTCCTATTCTGACATCGGACTCGGACTTCTCTTTAACTGAGTTTTACTGTGCGTACTGTTGCACGTTTGTTTTTTCTACATTGGCGTGAGGTATAGGGGGAGGGTTGAGATCTCAAAAAACATGTTTAACCCCGCCGCAATTTTGCGCCTGTCTCAAGTCAGGAGCCTCTGGCCTTTGTTAGTCTTGAATCATTTTTAATTTTAGTTTCTTGTGTATAACTTGGAGTTTAGTATGACGTCCATTATCACTGAACTAGTATACATATTTGTTTTGGGGTCAGCTGAAGGACGCCTTTGGGTGTGGGAGTTTCTCGCTGCATTGAAGAACCATTGGTGGCCTTCGGCTGTTGTCTGCTCTATGGTCGGGTTGTTGTTTCTTTGACACATTCCCCATTTCCATTCTCACTTTTATGACTGACAGCAACCAAATATCTGCTGATCGTAAATGTTCTTGTCTTTGGAATGAAGCATAAATAATGTAACATTTCTGTAAACGCTTAACCCTTCCAAATAAATTTTTCAATCCGTTTCAGAATATACCCCTTTGCATTCCAATTAACACCGGTAATAGAAACTTCCATTCCCACTGACTGTAACGACCAGAATATCATTTAGACATTTCCCATGCAAAAAGACGTGCTGTTTTCCATGCTTATCATGTCAAAAAGAGAGACGAAAGATACCAAAAAGACATTCAAACTTACAAGTCGAAAATAAACTGACAACGCCATGAAAAAAACGAAAAAATACCAAAAAGACAAACAAAAGTATACAAAACACAACATAGAAAACTAAAAGAGTGATATCAGATGCCCCCAAAAAAGGGTAAGCAGATCCCTGTTTCGCTAGTGACACCCGTGGTGTTGCTAATGCAAGTACAAACCCGGTGATAAGTCCTATTCGATAGGTTACCGTTACCTTTAACGATCGGATTGAATCCTTCAATGTATGGAAAGCAATTTTCGGCTACGTCATTGACAAACTACAAGTTTAAGACTTTATCAGCTAGATCTATACTATATTAGTGTATAACTAGTTATTGTTTTCTCAAAACAACCCAGCAGGAAATCAAAGTGGAATACAAGAGCCTTCAGATACAAACATTAGCATGATGTTGTCTTTCTGCCGATCATGGAAGTCTTTACATTTATCAGGAGAATAAACCAGATGAAAACGATCTTAATTTAATTTCGGGTCATAAGTCTCACCACTCCAATGATTGATTCGCCAAGAATCACATCTGAAGTCTTGGCTAAATCAGCGACCATCAGAGCCGATGAACAACATTCGATTCCCATTAAGCAACGAAATCTTTGAATTTTGCATTAAAAAGCCGGAGTTGCAACACACTCAATGCATGCAAAGATTGTTTGAGCGAACACAATAACACTTCACTATCAGCTATCGCCAGTGTCTAAGTCTAGATTGTCCAGTGACGACACAATTATGAGACACCCAGTTAACATTCGTAAATTCAACAGGTACAAGGTTAATTAAGGAATCCTACATTCGGAATTTATGGATGGTTAACATTTATGTTATAGTGAAATTATGACTTCGCTAAATAGTAAACTTTTAATTACCCTACACATGTTCAATATATACTTATTATACACATCTATACTGTGCTGAATGAAAACTAAACTTTTATAATGTTTATGCGTTCAACGATCTTTCTGTATTTTTCTTCACGAGGAACGCTCAAATATTTAAATAGCTTTGACCCCCGAATCTACCGAGGCAAGGGTTGGGAAGGCAAGTGGCTTTGTCAAGTTGGGTAGCTTCACAGAAGTTACCGATGTTTTGCAAATGCAATAGTATCATTTTTATTATATCAGGAGTTTGGTATAAACTATAACAGCTGTTTCAGTTTGTTTTTTTTTTTTTCTTTTTTTTTTTTTTAAACTTTGATAATTGATTCATTGGTCTAAAGCTGTTACAATAACCTTATTGCTACAGCTTTCACAAACAAGGTACCCTGATATATTAATATCTTTAAGAACAGGGTGTATTAAAGATAAGTTTTACTTTATAATTGTTAGCTAATTACAAATACAAATATATTATAATATAAACTTATATAATTGCAAATCATTTAAATTTGCATTTACGTATATTTTGTTCCGGATTTGACCTTTACTTTTCCATCCTTATACAATCTACCTGACACATATTTTACTCGTTTAGAAAAATCGTGCGTGTGTCCAGTGTGATCAAATAATCGTAACCTGACATGATTGAAGGATAATATAGTGCATGTGTTAATCTTATTGATTT